ACCCAAAATAAACAAATAAATGAATAATCTCCAACAAAGCAGGCCTGGTGATGTATGCCCAGCACTTGGGAGATCAGAGGAGGAGGACTGGAGTTCAAGGCCACCTGGGGTACAGAATGGGGTTGGGGAAGGGGAGACACCAGAGGCTCTCAGAGCACAACCAGTCTTTGAGGGATCTTTGGCTCCAAGGAGGAAATGAAACTGCTTGGAAAGGGAAGACGCAAGCTGACCAGCTCCACACAGGGGCGCGGGGCGGGGCGGGGCGGGGCACTGATGGAATTCCTTTAGACAGGAGTACCTGGTCCCCACTTCCAGGTCAGAGGGCAGATCAGGAGTGCAGGATGAGGAATTGGAGGGAGAGGTAGGTAGAGAGGAATATACAATACTACGTTTTTAAACTTGTTTTCTTCTTCTAACATGTGTTTTATTATCCTCACGTAGTTGTACAAAGAGAGTTCAGTTCAGTATGTCAATTTGTGATTATAATGGATCTCTATCAGTGTCTCCCATAATCTCAACCCCACCTGCCCACTCCATTTACTTGGTTCTGTTTTCTTTTTTCTTTTGCTAGTCCTGGGGCTTGAACTCAGAGCCTGGATGCTATCCCTGAGCCTCTTAGCCAGTGCAGGCATGAAAGTCCTTGGAACTTATCTCCAGTTAATCAGAGAAAAAGCCAGAAGTGGTGCTGTAGCTCAAGTCATAGAGTGTTAACCTTGAGCAAAAGAAGCTTAGGGACAGCACCCACCAGTTCAAGTCGGGTGGGGGGTGGGGAGGGAGTCACAGACTTTTCTGCCTGATCTGGCTTCAAACCATGATCCTCAAATCTCAGCCTCCTGAGTAGTTACAGGGGTGAGCCACTGGTACCTGGCTCATAAAATTATCTTAATGAATTTTTATTGTTTTACAATACTATATATAAGTAATCAATTGGTTCACAAAAACTAATGGTACCCCCTTTTCTTTTTGGTGCTGGCTATAACTCGAACTCAGCGCCTTGTGCTCTCACTTGGCTTTTTTGCCCCAGGTTGGCACTGTACCACTTGAGTTCAAGCTCTACGTCTAGCTTTTTGCTGGATCACTGGAGATAAAGAATCTCACAAACTTTCCTGCCTGAACTGGCTTTGAACCATGGTCCTCAGATCTCAGGTTCTTAAGTGGCCAGAATTATGGGTATGAGATTACAGGCAAGAGCCACCGATGGGTGGCAAGGCTGAGTTTCTGTTTTAGGTTCCCCTCAAAGGTTTGAAGACAACACTTGAAATCCCTCACTCACTGTCTTAAACCGCAGTGGGTTGAGGAGGGCACGTTTCCAACAGGATCTCAGAGTCCCTGTGTGCCAGCCGCGCCCTCCCCCCGCCAGAGCAGCCCTCCGGGGGACCATGCTGGCAGGAGCAGGGAGTGAGATCCTGGATCTGGTGGGATCTGGCTGTGAAGAATAAGGAGCTCCCTGGAGCGGCACATGCAGAATCTACCTAGCCCACGAAGCTGTGTCTAGGTTCCTCCGTCAGTGAACTTGCGGAGGATTTCTGTTCCCAGGAAAGGGAGGGATGGGACAGGAGCAGGTGGCTGGAGGAAGCACGCAGGGTCATGGGAGCGCTGCAAGGCCTGGCTGCAACAAAGAGAACATCTTCTCCTTTGGCTTTTTAGTACTTGCTTCCTGATCTCAGTCAGATGCTATTCCTCAGGTACCTGTGTGGTAAGGTAAATCACCATCCCAGAAGCCACATTTTAAAATATAGAATATTAGGGCTAGGAAGGTGGCTCAGTGGTAGAGCGCTTGCCTTGCATGCATGAGGCCCTGGGTTCGATTCCTCAGCACCACATAAGCAAAAAGAAAAGCTGGAAGTGGAGCTGTGGCTCAAATGGTAGAACGCTAGCCTTGAGCTGAAGAGCTGAGGGACAGCGCCCAGGCCCAGAGTTCAGGCCCCATGACTGGACCCAAAAAAATAAAATAAAATATAGAATATTGGAGTCTTTATTATACAGTTAACAGGCTGCAGGCAGCCAGTTGTTACAAAGGTCTGCAGCACGCAAATACACATGACACAGCTAGGAATCATGCTAAAGAGGAAAGAAATAACAAAAACAATACCAACAAGCCAATTCAGCTCCAATGGAGAGCTGAATTGGGATGCCATGATGACTGGAGACAAGCCAGGAGACAGGACGCAGGACACAATCACAGAAACACCCGTGGCATGGAATCCAGTGGCTAGGCTGGTCTGGGACTAAATAGGTTGGTGCAGGGGGCAGATCCTCAGGAAATTCCCAGTCCCAGACACTAGACTGACAGATTCAGTAACCTATCAGCCAAGTGCCCACCCCTGCCTCCAGGGGTCCAGGCACGCCCATTATCTGGGAGGCAGGTGTTGGGGGTGGGAGGATTTCCTTCCCCCAGCATGAAAATAAGATGCCAGGCCCTACCATCCACCATGTGGCCAATAATGCTCCAGCCAGACCTGACCTCCTTACTTTACCTGCTCCCCTATACCACCTGTACCCCCACAGATGACGGCAAATGGTACAAGGAGCTTAGCCCAGGCTGTCGAGTTATAGCCTTCTCCCTGCAAAGTGAAGCCCTATTCCCCCAGCTCTGTTAGATCCACGTGCTGGTGTGGTTTTCGTTTGCTGAACAATTCCACCACTGGCTCTCACAGCGTCTCTCCTACACACTCTGCTTCGTTCACGGGTAAAATAAACGCACGTCCAATTTCACTCCAAGTCTCTGGGCCCTTCTGGAATTTCTATGACCTATTGACTTGAAAAGCCTATTTTGCTTATTTAGCTTTGGTGGTGAAGGAATAGGAGATGGTTTTACAGAATTAACTGCACTCAAAAAAAAAAAAATCCCAGCACTGGGAGGCTGAGGCTTGAGGGCACTAACTACAAGGCCAGTTATTATTTTTTAATCAAATATTAAGGTTTTGATCTCTAGAAACAAAAGCTAACACTAGTTACGGTAGAACCAAGTCCTAGTTACAGTTAGCATTTCATTTGTTAACACAATCTCCTTTGGCTGGAAGCTGATAGTTATCTCAAGGAGGAGCCACACCCTCAGCACTTACACAGGCTTGCCGGAGGCACTTAGGACAGAATCCCTTGTGAGTGCTCTAACAGAGTCATTTAAGCCGTGAATTGACTAGGGAGTTAGGGCTGGGAAGGTGGCTCAGTGGTAGAGCGCTTGCCTTGCATGCATGAGGCCCTGGGTTTGACTCCTCAGCACCACATAAACAGAAAAAGCCAGAAGTGGCACTGTGGCTCAAGTGGTAGAGTGCTAGGCTTGAACTGAAGAGTTCAGGGACAGCACCCAGGCCCAGAGTTCAAGCCCCGTGACCAACAAAAATAAATAGATAAATACAGAATTATCCCAAAGTTGAAAAAAAATTCTGGAAGGTAAAATAGATGATGTTTTAATCCCAACTGGGAAAAAAATTGAACGACCGGTATTAGAAATATTTCTGCTGCTCCAGATAGTGAGTTTTTAATATGGGCCAAGTTTGTACTTGATCCTTACAAAAAGGCTGAAGCTGGGTGTTGGTGGCTCACGCCTGTAATCCTACCTACTCAGGAGGCTGAGATCTGAGGATCATGGTTCAAAGCCAGCCCAGGCAGGAGCCTCTTGTCTCCAATTAACCACCAAATAGCCAAAGTGGATCTGTGGCTCGAGTGATAGAGCACCAGCCTCGAGTGGAAAAAGCCAAATGAAACTGCAAGGACGTGAGTTCAAGCCTCAGTACCCGAGGTGGGGGGAGGGGAGGTAGTAGGAGGTGAAAACAGGCATTTTTGGGGAAATGCTTTGGTGCTGTGACTTTCACAAATCAGTCTCAGTAGCCACAAGCCAGAATGTGGAAGCAAGTCTGTCCAGCTGCAATACTTAACAATGACACTCAGAAGTTCCTCAAACAGGCTGGGGGCAGAGAAGCTTTTCCGAAGTTCATTTGGGTACAAGTCCGCACCACGGGCACTGAACATATAGCCAGCACCATAAAGATTAAAGCAAAGCTAGGGTTTCTTTGGGCTGAATATATATGCTATACTATATATAATCTTCAAAACAAGACAAGCTACTTGACATGCAAGCTGTAGGTTTAGGTAATAATTACGATCTTCTGTTGAGCTTTTAAACAAGTCTGAGGCCTGGCTCCAATTCCATAAGTAGCTCTAGGACAAACTTGAAAATGTGGTATTTTAAAATATTTCCCCAAACCACTGAACTACCTCATTAGGATGTGTTGCAGTCAGGTGCCAGTGGCTCACTCCTGTAATGCTAGCTACTGATCTGAGGATCAGGGTTCAAAGCCAGCCTGGGCAGGAAAGCATATGAGACTCTTTATCTCCAATTAGCCACCAGAAATATGGAAGTGATGCTGTGGCTCAAAGTGGTAGAGTGCTAAACTTGAATGAAAAAGCCAGGCAAGAATGTAAAACCCTGAATTCAAGCACACACACACACACACACACACACACACACACACACACACACACACACACACACACACACACACACACACACACACACACACACACACACACACACACACACACACACACACACACACACACAATGTTGGAGCAAGTAACCCACCTTCATAATCCACACACCTGTGCTGAGACATTTGAGCACAGTAATTCTAGCCCTTCATAGCTCATTAGAATGCCCCAGGAACCATTTTTAAAAGCCTCAGAACTGTGCTCATTACCTGACTTACATAATTGGGACCTCTCTGTATGTCACTTTTACAGATACAATGTAAAACACGGTGTGGAGCTGCAGAGGTAGCTCCGTAGTTGGGCACGCCTGAGGGCTCAGTCCCCAGAACCACCAAGAAAAGCAGGGTGCTCAATCCACAGCCCAGAACATTCTGGCTGTCACCAGACAAGGACTGAGCAGAAGCACCGGCACCTGGCAGTGGCCCAGAAGCCCAGCCCTCCCGGGGACGAGCTTCCAATGCGCGCGGCCAGCAGCGTCCACTGTGGACAGTCAGCGTCACGCTCCCTACCTTCTCCCTTCAGCAGACACCCAAGGGGACTTCTCTTTTGTCAGTGCCCTCACGCGACTCCTCAGACACTCAAAGGTCTTTCCGTTGGCCCAGCGGCTCCCCCAGCAACTTGCACAGGAATGGCCACTTGGGAGAAATGCCCTGTGCCTCTGCCTCCCACCCTGCCGATCAGCACTTCCTGCGCATGACTCAGCCCCGTGCACTCGTGACCTTGCTGCTCTCTGGCTGCTTTCTATGCCACTCTCTCCACTTCCCTCTCCCTCCTGACCACCCAGCCTGCCACTCCTCCTGCTACCATGGACAAACTGGTGTGGATGCTGTTCTGGAGGCACTGGATGTCCGCATGAAGCTGCGGGCGACACCAGGACGAAGTGGCACCGCAGGGCAGGGCTGCGGACACTCGTGGGCGGTGGGCAGAGCCGTCCTTTTTGTCCTAATCTAGATAAGAATGTAGAATGTCTGGGGTTTGAGAAGCTTTTTGTGGCCCGTGATTGCGCAGAAACCCTGGCGGCAACACCTTGACTGGCACAATCACAGTTTGGCTGAAAGTGGAGACCTCCGTAATTAAGAAGAATAAAAGCCAGTCATGGGTGTTGGGAAAACTGGGCAGCCACAGGCCGAAAACTAAAAGTAGATCCCTGTTTGTCACCAGGCACTGATACCAATTCGAAGTGGATCAAAGACCTCAATGTCAGACCTGAAACTGTGGCACTACTGCCACAGAGAGGAGGAGAGACATTTGAACGCATAGGGAGAGGCAGGAACTTCCTGAACAGACAGGACAGAGACTTGACAAGCGGTGCTACATTAAAATAAAAGGAATCTGCCCAGCTAAGGACATACTTACTAAACTAGAAAGACAGCCAACCAACTGGGAAAAGATTTTTACCAGCAACGGATTAGACAATGGCCTAATACCCAATATATACAAAGAGCTCAAGAAACGAACCCCTCCCAAACCTAATAAACCAATCACTAAATGGGCAAGGGAGCTAAGGAGAGAATTCTCAGAAGAAGAGGTAAGAATGACAAAGAAACACATGAGGAAATGCTCATCACCCCTGGCCATTCAGGAAATGCTATCAAAACAACACTGAGATGCCATCTTACCTACTTAGACTGGCCAACATCGTGAATTCAAACAACAGATGCCGGTGGGGATGTGGGGAAAAAGGAGCCCCACTACACAGCTGGCGGGAGTGGAAACTAGTACAACCGCTGTGGGAAGCAGTCTGGAGGTTCCTAAAAACACAGACCTTCCCTGTGACCCAGCCATACCACTCCTTGGCATCTACTCTCAGCATCACATGCCAGGAGATGATAAAGACACCTGCACACCCATGTTCACTGCTGCACTACTCACAATAGTCAAGATGTGGAAACAGCCCAGATGCCCCACAATAGATACGTGGATCAATATCTATATCTCTATATAGTACCTATATACAATGGAATTGTATACAGTTATTAGAAAGAACAAAATAATGTCATTTGCAGGGAAATGGGTAAAATTAGAACAAATCATGTTAAGTGAGGTAAGCCAAGCTCAGAGAGACAAGTGGTGTATGTTTTCTCTGATATGCAGAAATTAAACCTAAAATATACTGGGATATGATAAGTTATACAGGATCCTAGATATGCACACACAATGAGACCAAAAGAGGATACTCTTAAGAGAGAAACACAAGGTGCAATGCCTAAGTGTCTCTTCACATTTATATGAAATAATATACATAGTGAAATGAACTCCAAGATATGGAATCCGGACTTCTTTCTTTTTTTAGTTTTTGATGATTCTGTCTTGACTTTACCTAATGTATCGTGCATTCTTCCAAGTGTATATATCTTCTAGAGGGCGGGGAGGGGCACAGAATCCAATTAGAAAAGGGTGAAAAAGTACAGCAGCGGAGCTCTGTATACCTATACAACTCATGGGTGGAGACGGGAGGGAGGGACTGAAGAGAATGAGGGATCTGAAGACACTGTACAAAAGGAAATGTACATCTTGGAGTGGGTGGCTCACGCCTGTAATCCTAGCTACTCAGGAGGTGGAGATCTGAGGATCACCATTTGAGGCCAGCCCAGGCAGGAAAGTTCATGAGACTCTTACCTACAATTAACTACCAAAAAGCCGGAAGTAGAGCTGTGGCTTAAATGGTAGCACACTAGCCTTGAGCAAAAAAGCTAAAGAATGGTGTTCAAGCCCTGAGCTCAAGACTCAGGACCAGCATAAAATAATAATAATAATAATAATAATAATTTCCATGCAACAATATTTAGATGCAGACACGCCGTGGTTCTGAGGGAAGATTCTCTCTGAAAGGTCAAAGCAGACAGGGGTCCACGCTTCCCTGTGACCTCCTGCTTTGTCCTGCTAGTGAGTGGGCAGCAGGGTGTGTCTACACACCACACACCACACCTGCGTCTACACACCACACCTGTGTCTACACACCACACCTGCGTTCCAAAGCCACAGCAACATACAAAGCTCCCGGCACGGCCATGTTTGCTCCCTGACTGGCTTCCTGAAAAGGGGAAAACATGTCCCATACTTTTGCTTTTTTCAGTGTTGTGTCAGATCATTTCTGTAAATCCATGCACAGAAAAGCCATAGTGAATTCAATCTAGTGAAAATAGCAGCTCTGCTTTCTACACAAACTATTAGATATAGGCTGGCTGGACCATCCTCCAATCGTAATGTTTGTGAAATATGACTAGTGACTATGTGTGTGCCCAGGTGTGCCCATGTGTGTACTAGTACTAGAGGCTTGAACTCAGGGCCTGGACAGAACCCATAGATTTTTTTTACTCAAGGACAATACTCTAGCACTTGAACCACAACTCCACTTGTGTCTTTTTTTTTTCTTTTTTTGTCAGTTGTGGGGCTTGAACTCTGTACCTGGGCGCTGTCCCTCAGCTCTTCAGCTCAAGGCTAGCGCTCTACCACATGAGCCACAGTGCCACTTCCGGCTTTTTTCTGCTTATGTGGTGCTGAGGAATCGAACCCACGGCCTCATGCATGGGAGGCAAGTGCTCTACCACTGAGCCACCTTCCCAGCCCCACCATTTGCATCTTTTTGCTTGTTAATTGAAGATAAAGAGTCTCATAGACTTTCCTGCCTGGGTTAGCTTCAGACTGCCATCCTCAGATCTCAGCCTCCTGCATGGCTAAGGTTTCAGGTATGAGCCACCAGCTCGGGCAGATGACTTTTAAAATAAAATCTCTACCAATGCTTTAAATTCATTTCAATCTTGTTCCCAATAACTGGTACTTGAAAAATAATGTAAGCGTGATATTCAAAAGTTAATTAAAAACCGTGTAAGCATTCACGCCAGTCAAGCCTGACCCCTGCTCCAGCATGCATTGAAATGCATGTCACCTTGACCTGTAACATAGCAATGTGGAAAAAAAAATTGGTCAATATAAATCAAATGTACACTAATTTATTCAGCAAGTTTCCTAGTATCTGAATCCACGTCAGAAATCTAACCAGTATTTGTTATTCTATTATTGACAAAAGGAAGCGTATTTAAATGATAACAGCTACTCCGGGATGTCATTTGGAAGTTAAATTGCTCCCCAAGGACAGCTTCCATAAGTGGTTGCATTTAAAGGTCATTTACCACCAAATTATGAACAACTGTTGCATTTATTAGCACAGGCTCAATAGTTTGGAAGCTTCCCTCGTCCATTTCTACTGACCATAAGCGCTAATTGTTCACAGATAATAGACAGGGAAATCTGTACACTTTAATTCCCTGCACCATTACTATATTTTAAAAACTGGGATGTAAGTGGTGGCTCACATCAGTAATCTTAACACCTGCTCCAGAAGCAGAGATCAAAGTTTGAAGTCTAATGCTAGTCCCAGGCAAGCAGTTATCAAGATTCCATCTCAATGACCTGCTATGCTGCTGCTCACCTGCAATTCCAGTCAGGCAAGAGGTATTGGTAGGAGGATCATAGGCTAGGCCAGGGAAGGCAAAAACCCTGTCCAAAAGGTAAAGAAAGCAAAAAGGAGTAGATAGACGGGGATTGCATGCCCTCAGTTCAATCACTTATGCAGACAAAAAAACAAAACCTGAGATGCAAAGCTGAGCATGGTGATGCACACCTGTAATCCCATCATTCAGAAGGCTGAAACAGGTAGGACGAAAGTCTGAGGCCAGCCTGGGCTATGTAGCAAGATCCTGTCTCAAAAACAAAGCAAAGCAAAGCAAACCACTGGAATACAAGATTGTAATAGAGCTTCCAACTGCAAGAAAGACAGGACATGGTTTAAGTAAGTTTCAGATAACAAAATAACCGAAACCTCTCCCATGCTACATAAATCCGAACTAAAACAAACAAGAGGAGAATAATGTTTATGAATAAAGATATGTATGGGGGCGGGTATAGCAGCATGCCTGCAATCCTCGCTACTCAGAAGGGTCAGATCTGAGCATCTTGGTTCAAAGCCAACCTAGGAAGCACAGTCCAAGAGAAGCTTATCTTGAATTAACCACCAAAAAGCTGGAAATGGATCTATGGCTCAAGTGGTAGAGCATCAACCTTGAGAGAAAAAGCTAAAAGACAGCACCCAGGCCATGTTCAAGCCCCAGTATTGGTACAAATAATGAAACAAACCAACAAACCTAGTCAACCGGACTAGGTTAGCAAACTTCCCCTTTTCCCCTCCCTGTTCCCCTAACCTAAGACTCAGGGATGTTGTATCATAATAGACCAATACGCATGGGGAGAGAAGGATGTCTCAGGCTCCACCCCCGCTCTGGAAGGGCGTCGGTGCGTTCCAGATGCACACTGCGCTCTCCTGACAGAGCCTGAGCGTCTGGAATGGACAAAGGCCAACGCTAACTCGCTCGGCAAGAACCCACCGGGTCGGTCTTTGTGAAACCTGTCTGTCTGCCGGCCTCTGGCAGAGTGGAAGCTGGCATCTCTGTTCCTGTTGTCCTGAGGCCTCCACCCACCACTGGCACCTCATGAAGCCTCCATCACCCCCACCCCACACGACCCCACCCAATATTCCCTTCCCCCATCCTCACCCCCAATGGCCTCCTTTCCATTCCGAAAACACACAGCACACACCCGCCTATCCCCGAACATTCTCACGCAAGCTC